CCCACCTGAGTCTGCGGGAAGACCGACTGGAGCCGCGAGGTCGCAGGGCTTGGGCGATCGCCGAACTGCCTGCTTTGGATCCCGAAAAGCGACAGACACTGCACAGCCACAGAGTTCGTGTCTGGGCGGGACGAACTATGGGGTTGTGGCACTGAAGGTGAAAAGAGTTGGGACAGGAGGAGCAGCCGATCAAGTCACCGCAGTCCCGGTTGCAGACCAGACAGGTAGCATCATTATTGTTGTTGAGCATGCTGGAGGCTGAAGCTGTGCGTGAACAAAAAGTACAGTAAGGTGGGTTATTAGAACAAAAACTTGGGCCTGGGGAGAATTTTTTTCTGGAAACTTGTGCAAACGGGTAGACTTTGTTACGACTATTAGGTATTAGTTGAGAAGACTGAGTTCGTTTTATTGATCATGCAATCCTCATGGTTACAAAAAATTTGGGAGAGGGGGCGGGTAAAATAGAAAAGGCATGAATATTTTAAAAGTGAAAATAGAGACAAGCGTTATAAAACTTCCCTATTTATGTTTGTAAAAGGTCAGCTTTGGCAACCTTTTAGAACAACTGAGAGTACGCCAACAGCAATTCCAAGAGCAGGTCGCAATCAGTTATGTGCAACCACACCCCTTTCGCATAACATAGGCGACATTGTAACATTTTGGGAGCGAATACTTAAACCATAACCCAAATTTCAGCTCTAACCTCAATCCCGGCCGTAAGTCTAACTTTCAAACACATCCTGGCTTGCCCTCCCCAACCCCAGGCCCGAGTTTTCTGGAACGCACCCCAAAGGCATCTGTACGACGAAACGCTGCTACTGCCTTGTCCTGTCAGAAAGGCCACATAAACTATCCATGCATCCGGCAAAATGATCATGCATACTCCAAATCGAGCGTGGCAAAATGCGTCTTACATAACGTCTACTTTGGCGGTGGCTTCATCTGCTGTTTGTGTTCAATTCATACCGGTTAAATAGCCTATATAGCTCTACTTTGATGTTATCTTAATGTATGCTAATCGTAGAAAACATTACTGCCACAGGTCCACATTAATCCATGATCCCAGACAAACTATCAGCAGTACGGTTTGCGTTCGATGTTGTGTGAGAATAATTGCCGAGATTAGGGATGACCCCATTCCTTGTGCAAAAGCCCTACTTAAAAGTGCTGCCAGTCAAACTGTGTTCGCAACTGGTGCATTAAGTGTTTTTAAAAGAATACACGTGATGTAGTGGGATGATAAAAAACGCATAATAGCAGTAGAACAGTAAGGACTGGTTGAGGAAGTATTAGGACATAAAAACACTCAATGTCATATCTGACGGTTTTAACCCGAGGGAAAACCACGCTTTTAAACTGGCTTTGCGGTTGAGTCGAGGTCCGTCAGTTTGCTGTGATATACCTTAGTTAAAAACCTGGCCTTCAAAGCCCATCCTTCCCCCCCCCCACTAAACCAGAACTCATAAGAGGTGCTTACACGAAATGAGGTCGCCGCATTTTTTGAGTAAACAACCTGCCGCGTCATGGGTACCAAGGTCAAACCCACTAACACCTGCAGTGTTTACTAAACCCCTTCGATTGAAACCATCGGTTTTCGTATTTCTTCCGACACAGTGGGGCGGGGGGTGTACGGTAAATGTAACCATGAATGTAACTAGAAGCCCTTTTCGTGTGGTCGCTGAACACGGTGAGAATTAGTCACATTACTTTCTTCCGTTTAATTAGCCAAAGCTACTTTTTCAGAAAACTGGGATGCTAGGCGATT